CCTGCTTGTGTTCCCTCTCTCGCTGTGTCTCTCTTTCTGTCAAATAAATAAATAAAATCTTTAGTAAAAAAAGAAAAGAAAAAATATTTTATTTATATATCAGAGAGAGAGAAAGAGAGAGAGCACGAGCAGGGCAGGGGCAGAAGGAGAAGGAGAAGCAGACTCCTTGCTGAGTGCGGAGCCCAACTCGGGGCCTGGTGTGGGGCCTGATCCTTGGACTCTCTGATCACTTAACCATCTGAGCCACCTAGGTGCCCGAAGCAGTGACTTTCTTTTATACAACTTTATAGCTTATAGAAATGAGGAGAGCCAGTGGGGGTTGTGCAAGGTATATGGACTACAGTGTTGACTCCTTACATTATACTGTGTCAAATGTTATATCTTATTTTTCCTCTAATGTTTACTAAACTTTGAAAGAGCTATTATTTCCCTTCCAAAAATGTGCCCTTGATAATTAAATAAAAATTATAGTGAAGAAGCTGATGTTTACTTTGAAGAATGTATATGTAATTTCCCCAGTCCAAGAGACTAGTCAGATAGATAAGCAAAGCACACTCACTCAGAAACACAGGTATGTTTAAATACTATAGGGTTAATTAATTTTTAAAAGGCAGATGCACTGATTTGGGGGAGGTTTGAATGGTTGAGTAGTCTTGACTGTGCCTTGTGCTCTTCCACCCAGAACACATTTAGATCGTTTACATGAGAAGTCTTTTGCAAACAAATTTCAGAGATTGCAAACAGGCCTTGATATTCATCAAAAGTAGAAATAACACTGCCCCTTTTCAGTATGCCAGTTCTTTTCCCTTTTTGATATAATTGCTGATATTGTCTAGTAAAAGTTCTATATAAGATGTAATCACAAGAATTTATGAAATGTGATTAAGACTGTGTGGGGACAAGTATTGGTGGAAGCTTTTTGGGGGATGATACAGCTTTGGATCAGGTAGCCAGAGTAGTTTCATCAAGGAAGAAATCAAACTAATTAGATTAGAGTACTGTTTCATTAAATGTGCACATGAAACTTCTAAGTGAACATATACTAAGTTAGATTCTGTATGGCATTTTAACCAGGTCTATTTTATATTTGATAAGACATTATTATTAACAGAACATTTTTTTGTTTTGTTTTTTGGATATAGGAAAATTCATCTGGATATAAGGACTTGACGGGGAGTTTTGTAACAATATTGAAGCAAGTAGTTGGAGGAAAGCTCCCAGTAGATTTCAATTACCACAGTGTGCCGGCACCATGGTTACAAATCCAGCTCTTGAGAATACTAGGACTTCTAGGAAAAGATGATCAAAGGTGAACTGTTCTAAGTAAACTTGATACCCTGATAGCCCGTCACCTAGAAGTTTCATAAGTCAGATTCTCCCAATGTTTAATTGGCTTAATAGTGATAAATAAACCACTGTAAGAAGTACATAACAGGTTGCTAGGATAATCCTGGCTCTCTGCTTATCTAAGTCCTGCTCATAGGGACTTCTGAGGCTCCATATCTTTCACGAAGCCTTCTTAATCATTCTAGCTTAGGGATTGGGAAACTTTCTGTAAAGGGCCAGACAATAAATATTTTAAGGTTTGTGGGCTGTATGTTGTCTGTTGCAACCATTCAAGCCTGCTGTTGTACACCTCAAAAGCAGCCATAGACATTACATAAATGAATGAACATTGTTGTATTCCCAAAAAAACTTTTTATGGACGTTAAACTTGAATTTCATATAATCTTCATGTGTTCTGAAATATTATTCTTTTGATTTTTTCCCCCCAATAATTTAAAAATGTAAAAACCATTCTTATCCTGCGTCCATACAAAACAAACGTTTAGCCAGCATAGGCCTGCAGACTATAGTTTGCTGACTCTTGCTCTGGTTGGATGTGAGTGCTTCGTCTTAATTCATTTGTCTGAGTTACCTTTTTAGCCAATACTTTCTATTAAACTTCTTATGGGTGTCTATTCAGTTATATATATCTTTTGTAACTTTTTATTTTGCCATAGTTTTTCAAACTTACAGAAAAGTTGCAAGAAAGTACAAGAAGCTTCCTTATACCCTTTACCTAGAGACATCAGTTATTTGCATTTGTGGTATTATTCTTTCTCACTCTCTATATATGTGCATGTGTGCACACATATTTTAAAAATTTTTTCCTGAACTGTTCAAGAGCAAGTCCAACTAGATTTTAGTTTCCTTGAGAGCAAGGACCATGGCTTGAGTCCTTGATGTGTTTCTGTCTTAAGAAAATATATGCTAAAAAAAAATTTGCTAATCAGTGTTTCGACTTTATGAAAGATGGTTCTTCTCTCTGCAGTAGGGTACCTTCTAATTCTTTAGCGCTTTACAAAGGGATTGTCTTCTAGGCTCTTGCTCCTAGTAATGCCTTGTCAGTGTAATGTCAGTGTCCATGTGCCTGCGAGCTCCTAATGAGAACTAATTGGACTGTATCACTTCTGGTACTGCTATGTTACTTTTTCCTGGGTTTCTGAATCTCAATTCCTGATGGAAACCTAAGTAAAAAAACTAGAGGTGATGGGAGTAGATATGCACATTACAAATGTTTGTCCTAATTTTATTTTATATAATCCAGCCTATCCTATTGTGTAGCTCTAGTTGGAGTTCACTGGAATTCTGTTTTTTTTTTTTTTTTAAGATTTTATTTATTTATTTGACAGAGAGAGAGATAGCGAGAGCAGGAACATAAGCAGGGGGAGTGGGAGAGGGAGAAGCAGGCTTCCTGCCGAGCAGGGAGCCCGATGTGGGGTTCGATCCCAGGACCCTGGGATCATGACCTGAGCCAAAGGCAGACGCTTAACGACTGAGCCACCCAGGTGCCCTGGAATTCTGTTTTAAAATCATGAATTTCATAGTAATGCAACCAGACCTCACTGGTCTAAAAAGATCCAGTGACAATATGTTGTTTACTAAATTCATTAACTCATTATTTTTCTTCTTTCCTTTATGGATGAATTTGGGGAATACGTACAAAGTTACAAAGAATATGTACAAAGAGAGAGCTTACCTCCAGAGAGCTCAGTTGAATAGAATTAGGCTCAATGAAATAAACAAAGAGTGGAACTCTTATGATGTTGTGGAACATTAGAATATTTTCTCCTTTGTCCCAACTCTGACATTTTATGTTAACACAAATCTTGTGTTTCTTAAGACATGCTAAGCTCAGTGTGGCAAAGTAAAAATGTTATTTTATAACAGATTCTAATGTATTTAATGAAAGAGCTAATTTAATGGAAAAGTCTTCTTATATTTATATTCTTTTATGTCTGTTGTTTGAATATTTTCTTGTGTTTTATAGCATTCTTAGATTTAGGTTATTAATGTTGCTTGATCATGTCTGCAGATGTTTCCACATTTTCATGTGGTTAATTATGACTCCTGTGCCAAACATTGGCTTTTAAAATTGAGAAACTAGACTGTAATCTAGGTGTAGTATTACCAAATTTGGTGCGGGGGGAGGGTTGTAATGTCTGCTTTGTGGTTATTGTCTGGAGAAAGTGCTTATGCAATAAAATGAAGGATTTTAGAATATGGTTCTGGATTCTCACTGGATAGTTATACTTTAGTCAAGACAGAATAAAAGCACATGCACTTCAAATTAAATTTTATAGCTATATATTTGGAAAAAAGAAGTTTTCTGAAAAAGATGTAACATCATGTGTTATTTGTGTAGCCTCACATTATTTTGATCTCTTTGTTTTACAGTGTAGTTTCTCTGCAAGACTACTGCGTGTATTGTATGTTGATGGTAGTTCTTTTTTCTGTTCGTGCTTTTCGAATTTGTAAAACATAGACAGAAATGCCAGTTGAGAAGCCACAGTTTCACACTGACCTCTTGCAGAGGACTTTTCTAGGTTGGGAGGCAGAGTGCTCTACAAAGCACTGCATTTTCTTACAGTATCTACCTCAACCCAGCTACTGTAAATGTAATCAGTAACCATAAAGGCATAGGTATGATAGAAACCCATTTCACAAAATGTAATTTCTTTATATTTTACGTAAATGAAAGTTAAAATTTTTTTTCCAGAGAACCTGGTGCTGCTTAAAGAAAGACTAGTATTTGAATATTTTTTAAAAACTATGTGGTTACTCTCTGGAATAATCTGGATGTGTGAGGTATTACTGTAGTAACTTGAAACAGGTAGCATATTTTATTATAAATAAAATTATAAAAGGTAGTATGTTCAACCAAATAAAAGCCTGATTCTTAGACTAGGTACAGGTAGAGGAAAGAGTTGATTGACTTAGGGATATCTCTCCATTGACTAGTCAGCTTTGATAAAGCAGGAAATTAAACTCAAGAAAAAGAACAAATGGAATCTTGAAGAAGTGAAATTCCCATAATTTCATAAAATGAATTTCTTTCACTTCTTTTCTGTAGATCCTCAGTTTTAAAGAGAGAGAAGTTTGAAAAACTGTTTTATTGAGTTATAATACTATAATTCTACTGCAAATAAAATATCTTTTAAACAGGACAAGTGAATTAATGTATGATGTTCTTGATGAATCCTTAAGAAGAGCCGAGCTAAATCACAATGTCACATATGGTAGGTAACATATGTAAATGCTACTCTAACGATTAACAGTGTTTTTCAGGATTGTAACAAAATGTGTGTTAGAATACTATAAATTCCAAAAGAATTGTATATGTTAATTTTTAAGATGGTTCTTTGGGTTATTATTTTTCAGTGCAAGCATTAGATAACTAATAGAAATAATTTGAAATTATGGCATTGTTTTAAATGTTGACCTAAATTCATTATTAAAATTATCTCTCTCTTTTCTAAATATTTTAAAGAGAATTGTTTTTATATTGAAAGTATTCACTAAGCATCTAATTGACTGTGAAGGTTAACACAGTAGATCTGTTCCATACTTAGGAAGACAGTTCTTAAATAAATCAGTCAACTAGTCATCAAATATTTCTTAAATTTCCATTTTTTGTCAGGTCCCTGTGCAAGGTGCTTGGAGTACAGTTGTGAATAAAACAGTATTCCCATTGATCTCACAGACTAGATGGAAAGGGTCAGGTGGTGTAAATGTTACAAAGGAGAATTATAGGGTGCTGTGGGAGAAAGAGCAGCTAGCCTTAAGTAAGAGAAAGAACACGGAAGGTTTTTCTGAAAAAGTGATATTTAAGAAGACAACTGAAGGAAGAGTAGAGTACAGACAAAGATATATAGCATATATATGTATGGAATAATAAATATATAGGCAGTAGCTATATGTTGCATACAATTTTATAAAGTAATTTAGTGATATGAGATGAGTAATTTGGGGGTGGAGGACTTAGGAAAGTAACCCAAAAACTTCCAATCTTAATAGCCAGGGGGAGGAACTATTAGTTCTTTATTGATTAGTTTGAAAAAGCTCAGTAAAGAAATTGGGGTATTTGGAAGTACTCAGAAGCAAAGTAAAACAGTTTGAATTTTGCATGTACTGGAGAAGAGCAGTAAGGAGACACTGAGAGGCTAACTCAAATGAGAAGTCATTTCTTAATCTAGTAAAATACTGTGAAGTAGGGGAGGAAGACCATTGTTCTTTCAGACAGTGGTAAACTGAATCTTTAAGGACATTGATTATAGAAACGTAGGGCGGACTAGAGGGCAGAAATTGCACCAGTTTACCTGTAAGAAAAATGCTTGACAAAGATGGAATAGGAATAAGGAGAAAGGATTGCATGTGTAAGACTAGTACGAGAATGATAATATATATGATAGTGAATTGAGATGGTAAATTTTGAAGGATAGATTTATGCTTTGCATGAATAAATGGTAATTAAGGCAATAAAAGTGGTTTATTCACTTGTTCAATCAGCATTTATTGAAGGCTTACAGAACAAAAACTTGTTTTGTGAACTAGGTACAGATTGAGGAAAGAGTTGATTGATTTATTTTTCCATGATGAGTCTGGGAGATTAAAGGAAAATGAGGTAGACACAGTCCCTGCCCTTATGAGTGTATAACATAATGATCAGTTGATATTATCTAGGATCCTACTGTCTAATGAGAAGAGTCAGGCCAGAGGTAAGGATGATCCTTACTGGCAAGGTGGTTTGGCTAGGAACTGTCAGAAGCTCCAAAGAAGTGTCAGAGTCTTTGCAGGCAGCCAAGTAAAAAGTTTTGTTTGAGATATAATGAGCATGTAGGATAAGAGTTTAAAAGGCTCTCAAGGAATTCTGTTTAGAATCAATTAAGGATTTGCTTTTCTTTTTCTTACAGAAAGTTTTTGTTTTTGTTTTTTTTTTGGTAATTGACATTTCAGCTTTAATTTTATTTTTTTGAATAAGTAATATATGCACATGGTTCAAAATTCAAAAGGTACACAAAGGTATACAGTGAACAGTAAGTGTCCCTTTGACCCTTACCACCGACCACCCAATTCCCCTTCTTGGAGATAGCCACTGTTACCCGTTCCTTTGATTTGGAGAATGCTGTATACCTGAGGAAATATTTTTTAATGTTCTCCACTAGGGTATCTCCACTAGAGTCCAGCGATACTCAGGGACCAACACCAACAGTTTGTTTCTTTGTAGGCTGTCAGTCCAGTGTTCACCTTGCCATGGAAACCTTATAGTTTCTTTTGTTTTATTTATTTCCTTTATTAAACTTTCCATTGTTAGGGTCCCCCCCTTTTTGTATTGATATGGTTTATAACTTACAGTTATTATAGATAACTAAACTGTTATCTAGTAGTGCTAACATAAATATTTTTTTGCTTAAGAATGTGAATTTTAAATTATGAACTTCATAAGGGAAGAGACTGTGTCTATCCCAGTATCTGGCACTAGTTCAATCAATGAGTAATATGTTTTAATTGGATTAAAAGAAAAGAAGATTACTTTTATCAGTTGTCTGATTGAATTTTAGTCTTTATACTTTCTAAACCATATTTTTATGACAGCTCCATTATTACAACTTACCTTAAAGTTAAATCAAGACATAAATCACATCAAAGACATTTATTGACTACTATTATGTACCAGGCATTGTACAAAGTGATATAGAGCATACGAAGAAGTGTAAAATACAATCTTTGTCTTCAAGGAATTTACAATATAATGGGAGAAATAGCTTATTTATGAAAGCATAATACCAGTATAAGGTAGAATGCTAAGGGGTGGTGCAGGGAATAAATATTACAGGAGTCCAGAGGTGGTAGAGATCACTGTGGGCCTGAGGACACACATAAGGATTTATTGATGTAATGAGGCCCTGAAAGGTAGGTAGGATTCAGATAGCCAGAAGGGAGGTCTGGGGGGTCTAGGCAGAGGGAACATGAGAGAAAATGCAGAAATGGGGATGTTTAAAACTGTTTCAGAGAATATTGACTTAACAGCAGCCTGCATGGACCGTTCATAGTGGGAGCAGTGGAAAGGCCATATTGCAGAGGTCCTCTTGTGAGAGCCAAAAGAGTTTGGACTTGATACTGTATAAATCCAGAGGTATGAAAGTTTTTTAGGCAGGGTACTGATAAGATGAGAGTAACATTTTTAGTAAGCTATTCAATAAATTGGGAGAATTATATAAAATGGAGTACAAGGAACAGAACCATCAAAAGTAGATAGAAGTGCATTTCCCTGTTTTTCCTACTTAGTGGATATTATATGTCAAATTAGCATATGACTCTGAAAGGTGGAGAAATGAAGGTAAACTGGTTAGGGACCTTGGGATGCAAGGAACAACACCATGGTGAGTACCCTGGGTTTTCTTTTTGCCTCATAGTTCCCAGACTGGGTACTGGAGAGCCAGCAACCTGGAAATGCTGACAGGCGCAGACAAAAATGCCCCAAGAAAAAAGCCTGTTGTCCTAGCCAAAGGACTGACAAGAAAAGGGCAAAATAGCAAGATAGCAGTAGCTTCTCTATTCCAGCCAAGCATCACACACAGCAAATTATGTCATGGCAGAAAAGACTGAGTGGGAAGCCAAGAATTCCACGTCACGAGGTGTAACCAGCTTCTTAGCCCTCCACTGGACTTGTGGTGGAGAATCCCAAGAGGAGAGCCAGAATTTCACCCCTGCCAGGTGCACTGTCAGTGGAGATGATGTGGGAAGCCTGGATTTCACATATTTAGGGATAGGGGGTTAACGAAGTACCTCTCCCCTCTTTGCTGGGGTGGTGTTAGAGGAAGCTGGTGGAGAGTCGGAGCCTTCACCACTGGTCAGCGATACTCAGGCCACCTAGCAGTGTCAGTGGAGGCCATGTAGGGAGCACTAATGAAATGCCCCTTCCTTTCCCAGGAGGATAGTATCAGCGGATGTTCCCATCCCCTATCCAGAAGGAAACAAGGAGGCAGAGTGGAGAACCTGGGCTTCCACACCCACTGGGTGGTACCCACATCTCCCTGCCAGAGTGGGGTCAATAGAGACTTACTTCATATGAAAGTAAAGTCTAATCTGAAGGATACGGGATCAGTGGAACTTCAAATTTTGTGCATAACCCTATCCAAAATATATATGATAAAACCACAGTATCACAAATGGTAGAATGTTATTAATTTTTAATTTGGTCATTTTTATTTGATGATATTTTGGTTAGGACCTGGGTTGCTCTGGAAGAGAAAACAAAACTTCACATTGTGTTTTTATGTTTAGAAATCTTCAGAAGCACTTTTTTGAAGCTATTGTAGAGGGGAGGCAGCAGGGAGGCTTCTATTTCATTTTGTGGACTTATACTTAGATTTTTGTAGAGTTGAGGCATAAAGGGACTTAGCTCTGGTGGAAAAATAATTTTAAAAACCTGTTAAATTCTTTTTCAGCTCATTTATGCCTAAGTTGACTAATAAATGCAATTTTTGAACTATTAATTTTACCTGTACTAGCTTTCCAGAAATCTTATAAGCATCTAAATAAGTTAAGATTTTAGATGAGTAATGAGAAGCTTTTGTACTAACACAATTTGATAGCAGGAAAGTTCTGAATGGAAGGAATCTGTAAAGGAAACCATGTCAGTTACAATAGAAAATGGAGCATCATTAAGGACAGGGGTTTTTTGTCTTTTTTTTTTTTTTTAACCACTGCTGTATCCATACTATTACAACAATAGGAGGTGTTCAGTAAATACTTGTTGCATGAATGAATTCATCATTTTTATCTATTAATATATAAATAATTCTCTTTAGATTGTGCTGTGGTAACATAATCCTAATTACTGTTTAAGCCTGAAAACAACAAAGTTCCCAACTTTGAAAATTTTTCATAAATAAGATTTTTTACTAAAACTGACCTTTTAATTAGTTTGTTTTGTTGTGAGTTCTATACAGGTATGTTTTTTATTATGCCTAAACATGATCCCTGATATTTTGTATTTTCTTTCTCTAGCTATTCTGTTTGAATGTGTACATACAGTTTATTCTATTTATCCTAAATCAGAATTACTTGAGAAGGCTGCCAAGTGCATTGGAAAATTTGTTCTGTCACCTAAAATAAATCTCAAGTATTTAGGTAAGATGATTAGATAATTTTTAAAAAAGATTTTACTTATTTATTTATTTGAGAGAGAGAGAGACGCTTGCATGCACCCATGAATGGGTGGGGCAGAGAAGAGAGGGAGAGGAAGAGAGAATCTCAAGCAGACTCCTTGCTGAGGGTGGAGCCCAACACAGGGCTCGATCTTATGACCCTGAGATCATGACTGAGCCACCCAGGTGCCCCAAAATGATTAGATAATTTTGACAGAAATTACAAAGAGAGCTCTTGAAATTTGCTGGGTATTTGTTTTCAGTCAACTGAATAATGTAATCTTTGTTTCTAGGACTGAAGGCTCTTACCTATGTTATACAACAGGATCCCACTCTGGCTCTTCAGCACCAGATGACAATAATTGAATGCTTAGACCATCCTGATCCCATTATTAAAAGAGAGGTAAACTAGTATTTTGAATAGTATATGCAAAGTGTTAGAACTTTTAAACTTTTTTTTGGTATTATGGAGAGAATCAAGTAGTGGGCGTGGTGTGTGTGTGTGTGTGTGTGTGTGTACACACAGTGTATTTTAACTTTTGAGTATATTTTATTCTTTCTAAAAAGTCCTTGTATCAGTATCCTCACAAATGGATTTAAACTATGAGTTGGAGGAGTTAGGTTCAGTTACCTGTATGGACTCATTAATATCTTTTTGGTTCAAGAGGAAAACTGAATCCTATTTCCAGGTCTTTCTGTTAATGCAACTTAAGGTGTAATTTATGACTATTAATATTTTTTCATATTCTCGTTAACATCTGTAAAGTGGGCTAATGTTTTCTCTATTAAATATGTAGGAATATTGAAAGAATTAATAAAGACATCCCCAAAATGATTTGAGCTGCTTGGAAGGAAAGGGGTATAATTTACTTAATTTTTTTTCAACTTTTTCCTTTTGTAAAATAGCTTCAGTGTCCACTTGAGTGTCTATATAAGTATTTATGTTAATTTTCATTAAAGAAATCATTCTGTGCCTTCATTTAAAATGGTATATGGGACCTAGTTGAGTAGATATTTTTATTTTTGATTTTAAAAATAGTAAAGATAATTTATTAAACATCTAAATTACTTAAAAGCAATGAGTTAAAAATATTTATTGAAAGAAAACTATTTCATTAAGCAATTGTAATTTTAAAAGATAAGATTATACATTTTGAATTTTAGAAGGTGCTATTTATGAAATAAAAATATTTTTGAGAAATTGACATATATATATATATGGGTTTTTTTGTTTTTGTTTTTGTTTTTTGAGATAGAGAGCAGAGAGTGAGGGGCAGAGGAAGGGGGAGGGAGAGAATCTTAAGCAGGTTCCACACTCAGCACAGAGCCTGAGGCAGGGCTTGATCTCATGACCCTGAGATCATGACCTGAGCCGAAATCCAGAGTTGGATGCTTAACTGAGCCACCCAGGTGCCCCATATTTTTTCTTTTTGCATTCATATTTTTAATCTTCTGAAAATTGTTACCTGCCTCAAATGAATCTGGGAAGTTTACAGATACACTAATTTCTATGTGTAGGCATCATAGAAAAATGGTACGGCACCAAAGGACAATAACTAAAAACTGTATGGCTCTTCCACTTTGAACAGATAGAGAGCATGCATTTTCTTTGTGTGATTGGCTACTAAATTGAACAGAGTTGACTTAGGTACAGTTTTCTTATTGCTATATTTAATTTGGGGGCTCTCATTTAAAAATGAGGTCAAAGGGAAAATAAAGTTATCATGTCTGATCTGTTTAAAATGATCAAGTCTGATCTGTTTGTCTATTACCTATAGTGAGAAAAGTAGTTCAAATTCTTTGGGGAAGATACTGAGTATCAGTGGTGCCCAAGAAGGCACTGTAGTACTGTCTTTTTGAATGCCACTGTCACATTTAACCTCTATAAGTAGTTGCATACCAAGAACTTTGGTCCCTGGGTATGGAGTGACCTGTTGCTTCGGACTGGGATTCCCTTTTACCTGGTTTTATTACCTTTGTTTCTTACAGGGAGAAAGAAGACAAGAAGGAACTAGTATGAAAGACCTCTAGCCATGCAGTTCCTAATACCATATCCCATACAGTCCTGGAAATGCTAAATTATATGGTCTTAGAGTAGGAAATAAATTGGGTGTAAATTATCTAAAAATATATAATATATAGTTTAGAGTCTACAGGAAGCATGTCTGAGACAGCTAGATAAATTGAAAACTATTGATAGGGCGGCCTGTGTTTTTGTAGATTTTAAATGGAGTTAAAGATTAACTGAAACAGTTATCTTTTGTACTTGAAATCCTGGCTATAAGATTGCAAAATTATAAAGAGCCCTAAAGGTATTTTGGACAAGTTTGACAAGTAGGGTATGTGGACATTCTCTTGCAGCTGATGTTGTTGATCCTAAAATACCAGTAAATGATACCTTCTCAGTACTGCCCTTGGTCTCATACTGATTTCTGGGAGTTATAATATTTTTAGAACCTTAATGTAGGGCCTCAGAAAGCCCAGCCAAATGGGAGCTTACTGTGGTACTGGTCTTCCTTCATCTTACTTGAAGAAGCAAGAGGTATATTCCTGAGCACTGAGAAGGTGGCTATAACATGGTTTTTCCTTGCTGCCTGAGATTCTGAACATAGGCCTTGCTAAGGCTTTGAAGCACTTGAGCCACCAACCTTTGTCTGTTAGAGGCCATTTGCCCTCAGCTGACAAACCCACTCAAGGGCTGTTTTCTATTGTTTGGGTAGTGTGGAAAATATAGTTTGCAAGACTGAGTTTTTATGTGTGTATGTAATGTGTGTGTATATACGTGCACATACAGGCATAAGTAATACAGGTTTAAGAAGCTGTTCTATTTTTTATAGGTTATATGCCTTTTAACTTTTTAGTCTTTACATGGCCTCTTATGTAGAAGTAGTCAGGTTATACTTATTGAGATCAGTAGAAGGCTTTTAGACTTTGAAATTGATCATAATTAATTTTTTTGACACTAAGTTGGTTCTACCTTTCTTAAGTTCTATTTCAGTTAAAATGTGCATTTCTTCAGCACCTGTGAACCGACTGCCCAGTTGATCTATGCAAAAGTGGGAGAATCAACTCTATTATAAACCTGTATATTGCTGAATTTATTGGAGTTATCATGCATAGTTTTATAATTCTGTTTTTATTTCTCTTTCTTAAATAGACTCTGGAGCTTCTTTACAGAATTACTAATGCACAGAATATAACAGTGATTGTCCAGAAAATGCTTGAATATTTACATCAGAGCAAAGAAGAATATATTATTGTCAATTTGGTTGGCAAAATAGCTGAGCTTGCTGAGAAATATCCTTTGTTTAGACCATGAGTCATGAATACCTTTAGAGAGGGAGAAGCAGCCTCACTGCTGAGTAGGGAGCCTGATGCGGGGCTTGATCCCAGGACCCTGGGATCATGACTTGAGTCAAAGGCAGACGCTTAACTGACTGAGCCACTCAGGCGACCCAGTGCCACCTTATCTTTGACTTTACTTCATACTTAGTTTCTTTTCTGGTATAAGTTCTTGTTTTGCAGGGGGACCTTGGGATTAGGGATCAGCATGCTAAAATTTATCCTCTGCACTGCTGTTTATACTGGAAATTGTCACAGTAAGGTAGTTGGGAACTCCATTCACATGTCACCTTTCTTCCACATTTGCTTTTTAAAAGTCAGAGTAACTTTGAAGGTCACAAGGAGATTCCATTCTTTTTAAGATGTCTGTTATTTAAATCTAAGAAAGAGTAAATGCACAGTGTTAATCCACTTGTCTTGGAAATTGCTTAAGTATAGTTTTGTCCTAGCCAGTGCTGTAGCTCTAGCCAGCAGAATGATAGAATTTTAGACTGAGTGGAACAGATTAGAAAGAGGTTAAACAGCTTGTTCAGGTAGACACACCACATTTAGCCTCTTTGAAGTGTAGATCATTTTCCATTATTTGTTAGTCAGCTGGAACATTTCTTTAAATTATTTCACACTTATTTATTGGATGCTTAGTTATATACAAAGAATAGTGCTAGATGAAGCAACATGAACTTAGTTTATTAAGTTTATTAAATAAGCTTTTATTGAGCACCTATTTTACATAAAACTGGCGTATAGAACAATTTATTGGCAGAGGTTAAAAGCAAAAATGACAAAGTAGGATGGGTTGGGGGTTATTCTTTAATAAAAGGTTGATGCAGAAAAGATAATTTTAAGAAGTGGCATTTGGAAGTGTACTTGTTCTTAACACTGTGGACACATATGCCCCTGATAATGCATGGTTTATTCAGACAATGAATGCTGTGTTTTCAGTGGGAGGAGATGTCATGCATCCTGATATTCCCAATAACTTTATGAGACTGCTTGCGGAAGGTTAGTAAATTACTGCATTCTGTAAAATAGAGATCCAAAAATTAAATGTTTTCTTAGAGAATTTAGTGGAAGTTAAGATGATGTATCAATTTCTTTGTAGGTTTTGATGATGAAACAGAAGACCAGCAATTAAGGCTTTATGCAGTTCAGTCTTATCTCACTTTACTAGATGTGGAAAATGTGTTCTATCCACAGAAATTTCTTCAAGTTATGAGTTGGGTAAGCGAAGTACATTAGATCATAAGTATTTATAACATTTTTTATAAAACCAAATACTAACAATGTATTTCCTTCAGAAGTCATTCAGTTCTACTCAGCATGCTGACTCCAGCTGTCAATTTTCTTTCCCAGTGGCTAGTTTCTGTCACTTAACTATCCACTTGTCTGTTCATTCTCCCTGCCATCTCACTGATCTGGTCTTTTAAGTATAGATAGTTGGTTAGATATCTGTTTGTGTCTACAATACATTTGTTGTGTTTTCTGTGTGAATGTTAGAATATGTGAACACCATGCATCTGTGTTATATTAGTTTTCTGTTGCTGTATGTTACCACAAACTTAGTGCTTAAAACAACAGAAATTTATTGTCTCACAGTTTCTGTGGGTCAGAAGTCGAGACATGGCTTAGCTGGGTGCTCTGCTTAGGGACTCTCAGAGTTGCAGTCTGGGTGTTGGCTGGGGCTGCTGTCTCATCTGAATCTTGACTGGTGAAGGATCCACTTCCAAGCTCATGTGGTGTTGGAAGAAATCAATTTCTTGCAGGTGTAGGACTGAGGGTTTGAGATCCAGACTGTTGACTGTAGGCTACTCTTAGCTCCTAGAGCTGCCTTCCGTTTCTTGCATGTGGGCCTCCCTACATGCCTCCTTGCTTCATCAAAGCCAGCAAAGGAGATCATCTCTTTGTAAGAAGAAGGTCACATTTTATGTAATATAATCATAGGTAATTGCACGCATACCATCACCTCTGTGTATTCTTTGGTGTGCATATGGGTGAGTTTCTTTAGGGGGAGACTTGGTGAAGTACAACTACTGGATCATAGGATATACATATTTTAATATTTTATACTTTGGCCAAATGTTAGCATGTTAACTTAAATTTTACCCAGACTTTTATTTATTTTTCTCAACTACAGGAAAGTTGAAAGACTAGTATAATAAATACCTCTATACTTTCCATCTGTATTCCCAGTTAATATTTTTAACCACCTTTGCTTTACTGTATCTGTATCTATATGTAGATCTACCTAAATACAGTTTGTTTTGCTGAGTCATTTACAATAGAGTGGCAGACATTATGACACTCCATAAAAAATTCAACGTGAATCTTCTAAGAATGACATTGTCCTGTCATAGAACCATTATTACATTGGTAATAAGAAATGTAACATTAATCCATTAATATCACTTACTATATAGTCCGTGTTCACATTTATCCATTTGTCAAAAAAAGGTCTCTTATGGTTCTTTTTCTACTATTCCTAATCCTGGATCCAGTCAGGGTTCACAAATTGCATTTGGTTGTCTTTTTAGCCTCTTTTATTTTATACTGACCCTCAGTTTCTTTTTGTTTTCATGACAGTGATTTTTTTGGATGAATACTGTTGACTTACAGAATATCCAGCATTCTGAATTTGCCTCATTATTTCTGGTTTGGTTAAACATTTTTTTTTTTTTTAAATTTTATTTATTTATTTGACAGAGACACAGCGAGAGAGGGAACACAAGCAGGGGGAGTGGGAGAGGGAGAAGCAGGCTTC